GTAATCCATCAGCACAGGTACTTTTTCCTGATTGCACATTGTGTTCACTGACACCATGGGATGAGAACATGTTAGCCTGCAGCAACATTAAAATCTGCAGTGTGACCATATTTTTCAGGAACAGAACTACAAACATGGCCCCACTGTTTTGACAGTTTAGGGGCCTCTGTTGTAAACATGAGAGTGTTTATGTCTACGTTTCTGAAAGGCCTGTCACTTTCTGTTGAGTGATGCAAAAATCTATCCCCAGGGCTCTAAAGTTTTTACACAAGTTGAGTTCAGCTACTTATCACAGCCACAGTGCTTGTGTGAACTGAAAAACGCCACAGTTAATTGAAGACTCATTCCCACTGACTGACAGGTTTGCACATTTTCCCCACGCTAAAGTGATTAGACAGTGTGTTGTGTCAGGAGTGAATTCAAATGTCATAATGTGGGGAAGTGACTGCATTATAATTCTGAGTAAGTAGCCGTGTATATTAAATGAGAAGCCAAACTGAAACATTAAAAAAACTTTAGCTATTGGAAATGGCACAGCATCTTTCCAAGGGGTTCATGAACATGCTTTAAGTAAGTAAGTAAGTAACATTTATTATTTATAAAGTGCTTTTCCCAGACATAGTCAAAAAGTGCTTGACAAAGCATTAAAACGTCATACGAATCATAAAAGATTTAAATGACCACACAATCCACATGTTAAGAAGTGCTAAAAACACAGTACATTGTGAAAAACACAATACACAATTTATTTAGGAACATTTCAGACCACAAATGCTAAAATGGTGATGGAGCCCTCGCACTCCGCTGGTCAGCTGGGCCGGCCCATCGCAGGGCAGCTCATGCTACACCAAAAGGTTAGACAATTTGTTTTTGCATATTTGTTCTGAATTTTTCTTGCCAATTCTCACTGTTATCACAGTGTAGTGCTACAAATTAATGCACATATTAATGGTATGCTTGTAAGATCCCAATAAGTTTGGAGATATATTGAATCACTGTTGTGCCGTGTATTGCAACCAAAGTTACCTTACACATTCAGGGTATCCTCGTGGTTATACACCAAAGCTTAGGAAAATGTTCCTTTTGCATCATTTTGGAAAACTTTTCTTGTACATAGTGCAACCAAAATCCTTTCAAACATCAATGGCCTCCTTTTCATGCTCGGGATCGAACCCATGACCTTCTGAATGTTCTACATGTATTCACACCTTCAGCTAAAGGCACCCAGAAATACAGTATCTAATTACAATTTCAAATGGTGTTCTTATCCATTAGAGGAAAATATTCTGTTCTATGGTATATAGTATTTTTGAACAATACAGGAACACTGAATAAATAAAACAGTGAGTGACCTTTAATGAAATGTGTTATGTCAACAGGTTCCACATAAATGTATAGGTTAGTTTAAAGCAATATGGGTTATTGTTAGAAACTGTCCATATTTTAACATTAACCTTCTGTATTACATAAATACAGAATGTGTAATAAAATAACCGAATGGTACAGAATATATAGTAAAATAACATAAATTGTAAAACATTTATTTTTGTGTTTGCAAGAGTCTCCATTGGAAGGCACTATTTCCATGCAAGAGAGGCAAGGTCAGTAGGAAACCTGACACGTTGTTAATGGCTGTTGATATATATACTGCATATAAGCTTCAGTAACCTTTGCACAACTTTTCCTAACAACACATTCAGTCTATTGTTGTTATTGAATGAGAGAAGCTGCCTTCAAGAGGTCTTCGATGTAAAGATTGCTCACCATTTTTAGTTTGGAAAAAGCTCTCAATCTTACAAGCGCTTCAAGCCAGCCCTTCAGACAGAATGGAACACACATATCATCTTTATTAACGGCCAGCCAGCACAAGACTATCCGTTTCTCTGTATCTGAGTCTCGCATCCGGAGCATTTCCATTCCGCACAAGAAAGCGCTCTCATGCCTGCTGGACTATACTCCTGAGTCCTGTCAGAATGGAGCTGCGCACCAAACCCCAAAATCCAGATTTGTTTGTTTATTGTACCTGTTATTACTATGATTTCAATCAATATTTAGTGCAATGGTGTTGACCACCACTCACTGATCATGGTTCAATTAGGATCATTCACTTGTTTTTCACAAAAAATACACAATCAAACAAATGTTTCTGTTCATGGAAAAAACCTAGATAAAAAATACATTAGTTTTGCATTACATAACATTTCTTAAATTATTCTTTACATTTTCAAACATTTTTTTTCCATCAGGTGATGTTGATAAATAGAGATGAGACACCTCTTCTATTCAGGGTCACATTGACTTAAATTATATATATTCATCCCCGATATCTTTATGTTCTGGGGGAGAACTGGTACCATACGTTTGATGCACAACGTTTGAAGGTTCTCTGTACACATGTCATAAGGTCTATCCAGTGAATCTTCATAGGGAAGGGAATGGCTCTGTACGACTGCAGTGTTCAAACTGGAGTTATACTCAGAATATGCACTCATGAGAGAGGGAGGGAGACGGACAGAGAAATAAAACGGTGATGGGGAGCAGATGAAGGAAATTACAAACAAATTAGCTTGACCGTGTGTGTGTTTATGTGTGTTTGTGTGTGTGTGTTTGCAGCTTGCAGTAACTGTGTGTTGTGTACAGATAGGGAAATCAATTCTGTCCAACCATGTGCTGCATCCCCTCAGTCGCTCTAAAGTCACGACCAAAACCTAAAAACAGATCGTCCAGAGGCAGGATAATTGAGTCAGTGGACTTATTGCTTCAAACCAGAGGCCAATATAAATTGAAAGCCCATATCCATAAGGAATATTATTTAGCACACTACATTAAACATGTTTTATTTAGTTAGCTCTCTGTATGGTTAGCGTGGAGATGGGATATTATATTTTGATTATTTGACTAAAGCACACCTAGATAAGGTAAATGCTGTAAACTGTCAGAGGCCGCCTGTGTCCTGATGGTCTGAATTCTCTCAGGGCCAGTGAGGCTTTTTTTCTCAGGCTTAAAAGATCTGATGTGTTGATCGCTTTTCAGAATGATGATGATGATGATGGTTTTAGCCAGGCTCATAGCAGGCGTCATCACCTAAAGGCAGCTTGTGTCACTTGAATGTTAAACTTCTCCCAAAAAATTCTATGGCCTCTTGAACACGAGCACTGAAGTTATAGCACTGCATTATAATTCTGAGTAAGTAGCCGTGTATATTAAATGAGAAGCCAAACTGAAACATTAAAAAAACTTTAGCTATTGGAAATGGCACAGCATCTTTCCAAGGGGTTCATGAACATGCTTTAAGTAAGTAAGTAAGTAACATTTATTTATAAAGTGCTTTTCCCAGACATAGTCAAAAAGTGCTTGACAAAGCATTAAAACGTCATACGAATCATAAAAGATTTAAATGACCACACAATCCATGTGTTAAGAAGTGCTAAAAACACAGTACATTGTGAAAAACACAATACACAATTTATTTAGGAACATTTCAGACCACAAATGCTAAAATGGTGATGGAGCCCTCGCACTCCGCTGGTCAGCTGGGCCGGCCCATCGCAGGGCAGCTCATGCTACACCAAAAGGTTAGACAATTTGTTTTTGCATATTTGTTCTGAATTTTTCTTGCCAATTCTCACTGTTATCACAGTGTAGTGCTACAAATTAATGCACATATTAATGGTATAAGAGTAAAATCCCAATACGTTTGGAGATATATTGAATCACTGTTGTGCCGTGTATTGCAACCAAAGTTACCTTACACATTCAGGGTATCCTCGTGGTTATACACCAAAGCTTAGGAAAATGTTCCTTTTGCATCATTTTGGAAAACTTTTCTTGTACATAGTGCAACCAAAATCCTTTCAAACATCAATGGCCTCCTTTTCATGCTCGGGATCGAACCCATGACCTTCTGAATGTTCTACATGTATTCACACCTTCAGCTAAAGGCACCCAGAAATACAGTATCTAATTACAATTTCAAATGGTGTTCTTATCCATTAGAGGAAAATATTCTGTTCTATGGTATATAGTATTTTTGAACAATACAGGAACACTGAATAAATAAAACAGTGAGTGACCTTTAATGAAATGTGTTATGTCAACAGGTTCCACATAAATGTATAGGTTAGTTTAAAGCAATATGGGTTATTGTTCGAAACTGTCCATATTTTAACATTAACCTTCTGTATTACATAAATACAGAATGTGTAATAAAATAACCGAATGGTACAGAATATATAGTAAAATAACATAAATTGTAAAACATTTATTTTTGTGTTTGCAAGAGTCTCCATTGGAAGGCGCCATTTCCATGCAAGAGAGGCTCTGTTTAAATTAAGGTCAGTAGGAAACCTGACACGTTGTTAATGGCTGTTGATATATATACTGCATATAAGCTTCAGTAACCTTTGCACGACTTTTCCTAACAACACATTCAGTCTATTGTTGTTATTGAATGAGAGAAGCTGCCTTCAAGAGGTCTTCGATGTAAAGATTGCTCACCATTTTTAGTTTGGAAAAAGCTCTCAATCTTACAAGCGCTTCAAGCCAGCCCTTCAGACAGAATGGAACACACATATCATCTTTATTAACGGCCAGCCAGCACAAGACTATCCGTTTCTCTGTATCTGAGTCTCGCATCCGGAGCATTTCCATTCCGCACAAGAAAGCGCTCTCATGCCTGCTGGACTATACTCCTGAGTCCTGTCAGAATGGAGCTGCGCGCAGAAAGGACCACACTGAGCACATCAGTGAAACACGAGCTCATGGCATCTTTATCACCCTTCAGATTGACTGCATAGATGTCCATGCGTGCACAAAGTCTATTTATATTCTCATTATCATGTGGTTCCTGTATTTCCTGCCACTACTCCACAGGCGGTGCAGGAGTATCCAAAAGTTAAAGACTCCTTCCAGTAAAGTCGTTTTTAATGTTTGGTCTATATTATGGGTTTCCAGCTAAGCATTGGAGCATTCCCACCGTGACCGATGCACCCTGAGGGGACATGGTTTTAGAGGTGATGGACAACAATGGATCTATCTGTTTGTCCCGGAACGAGAGCGACCGCGGACTGAGCGCTTCCTCCGCCGGAGTGTCCACTGCGCTGGCCAGCGTGCTGATCTTCACCATAGTGGTGGACATACTGGGCAATGTCCTCGTCATTCTCTCTGTATACAGGAACAAAAAGCTCAGGAATGCAGGTGAGAGATAAACAAACCAATAACGTGTTGATTTGGGAGTAGACCAACAGCTGGTATATACACAATGTGTCCAAGTTAGGGACAATCAGCCAGACATTTGAACAAAAAAAGAACAACAAAATGATGTGAAGAACCCATCTGTTTAACACCTACTCTGAAGCCAAAAGAGGGAAACAACCCTTCTCAATGACAGTATGTGGCATGGCTTGTTTCCTCTCTTTAGTCATATCTGTAATTATGTAATATAAGTGTGTGACCTCTGTGCCTCACAGTAAGGCTTCTATTTAAAGTTAGTGTACAGTGTCAGTGTGCTGGATTTTTCCACAGCAGTCTGCCTTCATATTTCTTCATGAATAATACTAATATCCTCTTCCCCTTATCTGGCTTTATCCTTGGTTCTCCATTGCAGACAAATCCCATCATGCCTCCTTATATCATGAAGTGTAGTGGCCCATGAGCAGCTAGGTGAGACATGCTGGTGTTTCAAAGCCTTAGCTGTAATGTTAAAAGCACTATTGTGTACTATTTGTTAGATTTCAAGCAGACAGCAGTGTGAAGCTGAAGAAGGTATTCATCGTAGTCACTTGATTGTCATTTCTCTTCCTTGGAAAATGTGCCCCTATATTATTATATAATACCCGCTAGTAATTAGTCTGTTGGCTCTATGAACTGCATGGACTACGGGATGCTATATACATTATAAAGGGTGCAGAGTCAGATAGGTTTGACGTTTTTTCTTTATTCTCACTCTTGATGTATATTTCATTCCAGCCTTCCTTTACAGATACAGTGAACATCAAAATAGTTATATAAAAAGTGTTATTTATTTTGCTGTTACTTTTACATACACTGTAGTGGCTAAAAGAAAAAAAGACCATTACTGAAGTATGACAAATACATTGAAAGAAATTATAAAAGGTTCCTTTCACAAAAGAAAAAGCTTAATTCACAAGTAGTGAAATGCTCCCTTGCTCAATTCAGTGAACTCAGATCTTTTTCTGCTACAATCTTATTTTTTGATGGGGTTATCATTGGCTTTTGTTGACTAACGTTGGCAAATATTTGCACTTAAAATACAAATTCAGTACATTTCATATGTTCTCTAATCGTCCCTGACAGCAATGCAAAATTCCATAGTTTGAATTTTACTTATGTTTTTATTGGTTTTAGAGACATCTGGGCAGAGCGTAACTTTTGTCCAATTCCTATACAAATGTAATCATCAGTAAAATCTTGGGTTGCAAATTGTGTGCCCCTTTAGAAAATAATAATATCTTAATATCTTAAAAATGGTCAAAGACAACATTCACAGGGCAGTCTCCCCAAAAACATGTATCTACACCCTGCAGGGTACACGAAGCAGTCGTAAAACCCATGATGCATAATGTTATTCTGCAGTCACAAGAACTGTGAGGAACACATCTTAATTAAATAATGAAACCTCATGATTTTGCTTTCCAATTATAACCGAGAAAAATCAATGTTTTGAAAACCAAGCAGAGAGATCGAAAACTTGTATGTTGGACATCTGAACCCCTTAACCGATGTTTAGAATAATGAGCTTTCAATTACAATTTTAAATACATTACATAACACATCCAATGAATCCCACCAGCCAGAAGCAGTTTGGCAAGTAGCCCGATGAATATTTAGATTATCTGGTTTGCAAAAATGTCACAGTCGACCGGTCTCAAACAAGAGGGCAGGAGTAAATGGCTCGTTCAAAAGTCTTCTTCATGCTGGTGGATTATGCACACTGTGGTGACCTCATGTCAGTGTTCCCCCGACTCTAATTGGACTGACATACAGGTCCAGTTGCACGAGAGACCCCGCCAGTGTCATGGTGGACTTTTGATCTGCATGTGTGAGCAGAAAACCTGAAGCAGCAGAATTTATTTTCTCTCCCAAGTGTGTCCTTAAGTGACTGAAACTGTTACTGCTGTTCATCAATTTCTGCTCTGTTCTTAACATGCTATTCATAGGTGTGGTTCAATTTGTATGAATGTTTAATTGTACACAGAGTTTCCGAGAGAAAGCATGCTGAAGAACGGCCATCATGAGTGATATACTGAGGTGTATACTGTAGGATTTACAGGTAAATACATATTTATTTTTGAAATGTGTGTCAGGCAGATTTCTCAAAACCTCCCACCTCTCTCCATAGCACAGTACTCAGACAGCTGGTTGTCTCCCTCACATACAGCAGCAGGACCTTCCGCTCTGCTACACTTCAACACACTTGCATTGCCTCCATATATCCCTCCACTCTCCACCACACAACCCCCCCAAAACACATGCATGTGTGCTCATTTAGTAGACACCGGTACATCTTTTAACCCTCCTGTTATATTCGTTTCTGTAACAGCCAAAATATTCCTGGATTTGATTATCCAAAAATGGTCAGAAACCCCAAAATCGAGATTTTTTTGTTTATTGTACCTGTTATTACTATCATTTCAATCAATATTTAGTGCAATGGTGTTGACCTCACTCACTGATCATGGTTCAATTAGGATAATTTACTTGTTTTTCACAAAAGATACACAATCAAACAAAGGTTTCTGTTCATGGAAAAAACCTAGATACAAAATACATTAGTTTTGCATTACATAACATTTCTTAAATTATTCTTTACATTCAAACATCCATCAGGTGATGTTGATAAATAGAGATGAGACACCTCTTCTATTCAGGGTCACCTTGACTTAAATTATATATATTCATCCCCGATATCTTTATGTTCTGGGGGAGAACTGGTACCATACGTTTGATGCACAACGTTTGAAGGTTCTCTGTACACATGTCATAAGGTCTATCCAGTGAATCTTCATAGGGAAGGGAATGGCTCTGTACGACTGCAGTGTTCAAACTGGAGTTATACTCAGAATATGCACTCATGAGAGAGGGAGGGAGACGGACAGAGAAATAAAACGGTGATGGGGAGCAGATGAAGGAAATTACAAACAAATTAGCTTGACCGTGTGTGTGTTTATGTGTGTTTGTGTGTGTGTGTTTGCAGCTTGCAGTAACTGTGTGTTCTGTGTGCAGATAGGAGAATCAATTCTGTCCAACCATGTGCTGCATCCCCTCAGTCGCTCTAAAGTCACGACCAAAACCTAAAAACAGATCGTCCAGAGGCAGGATAATTGAGTCAGTGGACTTATTGCTTTAAACCAGAGGACAATATAAATTGAAAGCCCATATCCATAAGGAATATTATTTAGCACACTACATTAAACATGTTTTATTTAGTTAGCTCTCTGTATGGTTAGCGTGGAGATGGGATATTGTATTTTGATTATTTGACTAAAGCACACCTAGATAAGGTAAATGCTGTAAACTGTCAGAGGCCGCCTGTGTCCTGATGGTCTGAATTCTCTCAGGGCCAGTGAGGCTTTTTTTCTCAGGCTTAAAAGATCTGATGTGTTGATCGCTTTTCAGAATGATGATGATGATGATGGTTTTAGCCAGGCTCATAGCAGGCGTCATCACCTAAAGGCAGCTTGTGTCACTTGAATGTTAAACTTCTCCCAAAAAATTCTCTGGCCCCTTGAACACGAGCACTGAAGTAGTCACTAATAATTTGTCAGCCTTGTTATTGCCCTTGCCGAGAGGTTATGTTTGCTTGTTTTTGATAACATGACCGATTAAGTCGAATGTAATCATGCCTAAAACTGAGGGCACTTGTCTCAATAGCCTCTTTTAAATTGAAGTTGTCTGAGGTCCTTACCACCAGCTGCTCTTGCAGTAATAAGTAGTGTACCTACTGTCCTAATGTGCACAATGTAGTGACTGCTTTTTCGTCTTTTGTTTTCTTAGTTATGTCCTCTGTATTTTATATGTTTGTGTTATGTGTTATGTGTTATGTGTTATGTGTAACGTTGCAGCTTTCTTGGCCAGGTCAGCATTGTAAATTAGATTTTATCTCAATGCTTTTTTATCTGGTTAAATAAAGGTTAAATAAAAATAAATAAAATATCTAAAGATGCCGAGCCTCCTACACATTTTAAAGATGTACAGGTGTAAACAGTATAAAGAAATGTGAAGAAAACAGTGTATCTGTTTTCTTGTACAAGCTGTGAAAGTGATGTGACGGTGGGTTTGACAAAGGAACATTTTCAGATCCGCAGCAATGCAATTCATCAAGTTGTGTTTTGGTTTGTTTATCTCTTGCCCTAACATGTTTGTTATGTGACTATTCTTGCTCTATATGTATAATGTTCCTTTTGTTATTCAGAGCTATTAAGCTGCAATGCAGCAGTGCCATACATATGTTATATGCCAAGTCTATTTTGATACATATACCGATTTATATGCTGGGTGGGAGGCAGTTTCTATCTGATATGATTTTGAATGTGCTGCAGCATCGTGTGCACTGGATGATTCTGGAAACAAATATCTTATTCCACTCACGCAGAGCTGAATATCTACCTGCTGCACGGATTTGATTTATGTTTCATTGGCTTGAAAAGTAGTATTTCACAGACAAAAAGAAGGAGACACTGGGGGGATTCATGGGGTGGTTAACTCCCGGGAGGAAGGCACTCTAAAGAATCAGTTGATTTGATGCCACATTATACTTGGATAACGGTTTTGTGTGAGTGCACCGTAAGATCAGATAATTAAAGATCAAACGGTGTCACAGAAGTTAAGGTCTGCGAGTCAGCTGTCTCTGACTGCCTTTAACCAATCAGCATGCAGGTTATGCTCTATTCAAGTTACACTCATTGTTAATAATAGCTCCCAAAGATGTCAGCGGACTCTATTCTGGTATCCAGGCGTGAACACATCTCTGTTGGTCGGCTGTTAAACACTTAAACAATCATTTGATTGCTATCAGTTTGGGCGTGATAAGCGTCAAGCTGGCCAAGTTGGTTAATTAAACAGCGAGAGGTACTGCTTCGTCCAATGTTTTAATAATGGATGCCAACAAAACAAAGACAGTCATCTGGCCGCTTCACAGCAATCCTCTCAGTGGTGTTTTAGCACTTACCTCATTCTCTTGACGATAAGGGGGAGAGAGGGTTCAGCCAGAGAGGGCTCTAATGCTGCAGCATGCCCTGTCCAGCCATATGATAACACCGAGCCGCATGATGCCAGCGAGGAATCAAACTGCTGCACAATGACAAATGCACACAGCTAGCACTGTGAGGGTCACAAATACAAACTGACAGATTTGCCCACTGAGCTGACTCCAGGATGAAGAACAAATGCTCATATTTGTATCTCAGTAGGCCTGAGAGAGGGATTGTGCTTTTTTAGCAACGTAGAAATGTTATACCTGTGCTAGGTCTGTGACTGACATTTGTTTTTCTTATACAACCCTTTACTTAGGTTGGAATTAAATGATGATGATAATAATATATGTTTTTTTTTCTCATTACTCTCTTTTTAGATTAATCAAATTCAGGCAATGGAATTAAAATAGACATACTGTAGCTGTGTTATCCCTAAAGTGCAGGGATTGAACGGGCTTTGGGTGAGATTGATAGCCGACATATGTTTTGAATCCACTCCCATCACATCTGCCAATCACTGCTGTTGTTTCAGCTGCTTGGTGAAAGTGTGATGGCTCTCGGCCCTGACTTTTCAACTTCAGAAGGAAGTCTATGTTATATCAACCCTGGAATTACCCCAATATCTGACACGAAGTGAGGCATATTATGTATAATCCTTTACAGATTATTTACGTAAAGCATACATGTTTATATTCTGACCAGTGATGTAATGGTTTATGAGAAGCTGGGTAAAAGTTGGTGATGACAAGCAGAATGTAATCATGTTTTTGGACTGGTTTATTTCCATCAGCTTTATTCTACTCGTAGAGTATGATGAAGAGTTTTCAATCTAAAAAGCTGGTTAATGGAGGGAAATTATGAGTTTATTTGGGCACTTTCTTCACTTCATTACACATTTTGACTCCTAAAATGTGTAGCTGCCACACAAAAGACCCTTTATTGCACAACATCTACTCAGAACTTATGGGAAGCTAATGCGTCTTCTGTGAAACAGCAATTCAATTTTGTGGCTCCACTAAACTGTTTTCTGTTATCTATCGTCTTATCTGACACAACAATACAATTTGATTTATTATTCTATTCTCCTCCACCCATATCAATATCAGACGTCATATTCTATGATTCGTGTCTTTTGAGGAGGTCCAGTGTTGCACTAAGCTCAGGAGGACAGGAACTTGTTTGGATGTAATTGGAAGCTCAAACCTCCCATGTCCTGTTTTTTTGATGTGCTTAAACTCAGTGTTCGGAGGTCCCGGGGGCAAGGAACCGTTAAAACAAGCACAGCCACATTTGAACATTTTGTGGGAATAGACCTGCCACATAAAACACTGTCAATACAACAACTCTGTTGTTCCTGTGACTAATTGTGTTAGTGGGTTGTGTCTTGGGAAACACATTTTTACAAACAAGAAGTCAACTGATTTGCTCTGGCTTCCTCACAATTCTAACACATGAAATGCAGATGCAAATTTGGTGAGGAATAATAGTTTTTGTGTTAATGTAAGAGCAACTTAAACAGACTGGTCACATTTTACTTGGAACACTAGGGGGTGGAGAAACAAACCCCACAGGAGGGTAAATATAGAAATTGCAGTACTGAAATTAGAGTCCTGGAAAAGTCTTGGTAAAAGCCAGAGGATCCAGAGAGGTCACAATAAAGCTGCTCTTTTATGATTTTGATGGTGATGATAAACTGTAAGTGTACTTTTATTGACCCAGTTGATGTTCCTCTGGAGCATGGAGTGGAAAGGTTGTGCTGTAAGTTTAATCATACACAAGTTTGGGTCCTCTTTTAGTCTTAAAACAGCTTCTATGCCATGTCTTTTTATGCTGCTGCAACACAAACATTTCCAAAATTGGGATCAATAAAGTACTATCTTATCTTATCGTATCTTCTGTTTCCCCAGGTAACATCTTCGTTGTGAGCTTGTCCGTGGCAGACCTGGTGGTGGCGTTGTACCCGTACCCTCTGGTCCTGACAGCCATCTTCCACGATGACTGGACCATGGGCGACCTGCACTGCCAGGCCAGCGGCTTCATCATGGGCCTCAGCGTCATCGGCTCCATCTTCAACATCACGGCCATCGCCATCAACCGGTACTGCTACATCTGCCACAGCCTGCACTACGACCGCCTGTACAGCCTGAGGAACACCTGCTGCTACCTGGGCCTCACCTGGCTGCTCACCGCACTCGCCACCGTGCCAAACTTCTTTGTTGGCTCGCTGCAGTACGACCCCCGTATCTACTCCTGCACCTTCGCCCAGACAGTTAGCTCATACTACACCATCTCTGTGGTCGTTATTCACTTTCTGATCCCGCTGCTGGTTGTGTCCTACTGCTACATGAGGATATGGGTGCTGGTAATTCAAGTGAAACATCGAGTTAAACCGGAGCAAAGGGCCAAACTGCAGCCTAGTGATGTGAGGAACTTCCTGACTATGTTTATGGTGTTTGTGTTGTTTGCCTTCTGCTGGGCTCCACTGAACCTCATTGGCCTGGCTGTAGCTATAAATCCTGTGAAAGTTGCGCCCAACATACCCGAGTGGCTCTTTGTCACAAGCTACTTTATGGCGTACTTCAACAGCTGCCTCAACGCGGTCATATATGGACTGCTAAACCAGAACTTCCGTAAAGAATACAAGACGATCCTTCTTGCTATTTGCATCCCACGTTTGCTCCTCATGGAGACGTCCAGGGGCGCCACCGAGGGAATGAAGAGTAAGCATTCGCCAGCTGTAACGAACAACAATGTGGCAGAATTAAATGTATAATGTTTTCCGGGGGAAACTTTGTTGAAGTTTCTGTGGAGCCTCATTGTGGATGTGTGACCTCACCCAGTGCCTTCTCACAAGATGTGTTTTGGAGAGAACACTACTGCCATCGTATTCCTACTGCCACTGGTCCATAATAATCAATTGTATCACCGTTACGTTGCATTCCTTTGTGACCCCTTTACTCTTTTAAATACAGAACAACTGGTAAACAAGCAGTGTCAGTGTCCACCTAAAAACATTTGGACCCTATAGGGTAATCTTTTATTCAGTGAGTTTTACGATACTGACACTGTATATCTTATGGATGGGAGCTTTCACTTTCCACTGTTTCTGCACACTGAAAAGGAGGATTTATGAGGGAAAATGGGTTGTTTTTCCTTAAATGAATTCCTCTAGGCCTTTACACACCTGTGCAATTAATTCACATATGAATATATTTATAAGAACGGTTGTTACATCATAAATACTTCCATGCAGAATGTAATATTATGCAGCAAAACCGCCACCTATTTTTTTTTTCAGAACAGATTGATTTTTCCAAGCTATTGCAGAGCTGGAAAAAGCATCTTCCAGTCTTTTTGAGCAGAATGGACACATTAAAAACACAATGTAGATGAGGATAATACAACTTGTCATATGCTTGTTGCGCCACCAGTATGTAAATGCCTTTAATATACTTTTATATTAGGCCGCAGCCTTTTTATTCAAAGCTAGGCTCAATTATAAAGGATTTGACGCTATCATTTATAAGCTTTTTAGTGGCCGAAAATATTAAAGGTGGGGTCGGTAATTTTGGAGAAACCAGCTCGAGATCGCTAGAATTTGAAAATACACAGCCGGAAAAAATCTGCCACTTCCTTACAGAGCCCCTCCTCCAACACACACGAACGCGCACATGACCAATGAGGGCACGAGATAAGTTTGTGTACAGATGGAAGGCTGACAGGCAGGTAGGCCATCCAATCATTTTAGCCGGGCCGGCTAAAATGATTGGTCGTACTTTTTACAGTACTACAGCTTCCACAGATGACATTTTTTTATGGATTTTTTGTCAAAGCACTTAAGATATTCATTGCTATCGGGATGTTAAGAGCAGAGATGGGGTCGTTACTAAAAAAAAGTAATATATTACATATTACATATTACTTTAAAAAAAAGTAATATATTACACTACTTCGTTACTCTCTACATAAAGTAACTCGTTACTTTACTCGTTACTTTACTCATTACTTTACTCACAGGGCCGGCCAGCCCCTCCCTGCAGGCAGATCACGCAGACTGCTAAAGTTTCAAATGTTCTCTTTAGTTCAGTTTCCATTGTCGCATAAGACTGATTCAGATAGCTCTGACCATGGCTGTCCTCTGTCTCCTGCTATCTGTATTTTGCGCAGTATATCTCTGAACGATGCGATGGTGATTCCACTGTGCAAATGGGCAACATTACCTCTACTATGAAGGATGCTACAAGCCTGTCCATCTCTGCTTTGGTTACCGGTCCTCCAAATTCTTGCGGCGGCGCACTCACAACATCCTCACTCTGGGTTCGGGGGTCCTTAGCTATTAGCTTCACCTTAGCATGTGTTCTTTGCAGGTGTTTGTTGAGGTTTGACGTGGTGTTTACAGCAGTGGATAACAGCTTCTGGCCTGGACACAGTTTGCACCTCACCGTCACATTCCTGTCTATTCTTCGGACGAACTCAAAATAATGGGCATACCTCCACCCCTCGAAAGTTATCGCTGACTCTGCCATGTTTATGCTGAACTGCACACGGAGATGTGGACGTGCAAGTCGCGCAGATTACGTACATATAAACCTGCGGCGGAAACCCCTCTTGTCTGTCAGTGTGATTATGACTGATTTTATAAAAGTAACGAAGTAACGCGTGTCGGGGCAATGTTAGTAACTGTAGTGTGATTACTGAATTATAAAAGTAACGCGTTACACTACTCCGTTACCGACAAAAGTAATATTATTACACCCAACTCTGGTTAAGAGCATTCCATGGAATATAACAAAAAGTGTATCTCGAGCCGGTTTCTCAAACTTACCTACCCCACCTTTAACGCAAAAACATATTTTAGCTTGTGTAGAAGTTATAGTGAAGTGTGCATTACTTATATCCTTCTGGATGCATATGAATACCGAGGCTCTTTCTCTCTAGAATGTAGCCTGTATTAGTTCACCATGATGCTGATCCACCCTCAGTCTTCTGAGCAACGATGTCCTCACACAACATATTGGAAAGATTGTGGAAGATTTTGGTCCGGTTTTAATAAAAAAAGAGAAGAAATATATAACCAGGCTGTGTGTGTTAATAGAGAAAGATGTGCCTTGATTTATTCTCTCAAAGTTTCAGTACATTTTTCTGGTAATTATTACAGTCTTTGAACTGTCTACTCTAAACTATCGCATGGGTCAATTTATCGGGCAAAAAGATCCCTGTATGATTTAGGAATCAGATCTGTTTTGAAAAGGGGAAGAGCAGATGATAGACAAAGATAGCATCCTTGTTTATTTAATGCATGGGGGACATGACACACATCAGGAGCCAGAGATGTTACTATGTGTTAGTGCGAGTGTGCCTGGGCACATGTCACCCTGGCAGATATGAGCTCTGACAGCCTCCCAGCATAACTCCAGTCCAGCACACAAACTGTGAGCGGTTCACCTCACAGGAAGAATCCGAGAAATCAATGTGACACATTTTTGAAATGATGCATCCTTACTGGAATGTTAAAGAGACCATGCATTCATATTGCCTAATTCAATTTTTTCTGTACTTAATAAGCTTAGACTTGCTGCCTGATGTAAATTAAACCCTAAGTAATTAATTATAGATATATGAAAAGGAATTGAAAACCCTAACGGATCTTGTTTCAGGTGATATCATGTTGCAGAGCTGCAAAATGGCCCAAAAATGTTCAGTGCTGTTTGCAACCTCCCGAAACAGCGTCTCTGATGTGGAAGAAAGAAGCGGCCCACATGCCAGTGCAAGGTCAGCTACAGATGAGTGGCTAAAGGGGCTCGAGGGAAGATGACACAGTCGGCTCTACATCAACGAGTCACAGACTAATGGCAGGGTCATCCATCTTCCTCCCCCTCTCACCTACCTCTCTTCATTCTGTCCTTTCCTGCTCATTTTAGATGTAGCCCTATTGAATGATCCTGCTGTAAGGATAAGTGTGACAATATTAAACCTTTTCTTTTTCGCTTTCATGTGAGGATCCATATATTGCTGTTTTGTCCGTGAAATATGAAGCTACTGTCAGAAATCAGCTATCTGGGCTTAGCTTTTAATTTAGCTGAAGACGGAAGGCAGGGGAAAAGAGCTAGACTGCTTCTTTTAACTAAGTTTTTTGGCAAACTTGTGGGCATTTTGAGAAGAAATTGAGAAGAAATACTTGAGAAGAAATTGAGAAGAAATACTGTGATTTAAGGCTTGCTGGAATTTCAGCAAGAAATGTGGAGAAAATGTTGCTTGAGAAAACTGTAACTTAACCATGAGGCTAACTGTAGCTCACAACACTAGCCACAGCTATGAGCAGGATTGAACTACCAGCTACATTTTCTCTTGAATGGTAAATGGACTGTATTTAGAGCTTTATCCATTGTTTACAACAGGGGTTCCCAACCTTTATTGTGCCAAGGACCGGCAGATACATTAAAAAAAAATCGCGGACCGGTTGTCAATTTTAACTGATTTTAATATTTACTCACCACCAGCAGGTAGCAACAGAGGCTAATGGCGCATTTCCACTACAGCGCGGAGCTCGCTTTAAGCGTGCCGTGTCGTGCCGTGCCCGTTTTTGGTTGCGCTTCCACTAGGCCTAGTTACGGCCCGGCCCGGCCCGGGGCCACTTTTTCACCTCTTTTCTGGCCCGACAAAATTGTGGTTCTATCGGGGCCAACAAACAGGGCTGAGTCGGGCTGAGTATGCTAAACTAGAGAGAGGAGCGCTGGCATGGGGGCTACAACTACAACAAGATGGACATATTTGACCGTGATTTAATTGTAATACACGTTTCAAAATGATGCCGAAGTAACAACATACTGATACCGGTTAGTAAAAACCATGAATTAATGCTTTGTCAAGTCTGCAGACAGACGGCAGGCGAAAAACCTTTTAAAATGCGTGTTTTTCTAGATGGAGATTGGCTAAGCTAACGCAGTATATGCTCCGACCGTCCACACTCACAACAACGGCCTATACAGACATAAATAAAGCAGCGACTGTATTCACCATGACACAGGCAGTCTGTGGTTTGTACTTGTTTAACTTTTGTCGAGTTTCTGAACATATATAAGGAGCTGTGAGCTCTGAGTGCTAACAGCTAACGGCTGTGTTGTGTTTCTGGAGTTCTCATTGAAGATGACGTCACGGCTCCGCCTACACTGCGTTACTATAGTAACTACCCCAGTTCCTAAACTGTAATGGAAGCGCAGCTTGAAGTGAGTCGGCCCTGTTAAGGCCCAACGCGGCCAAGCCGTACCGAGCCGTACCGAGTGTGGCCGAGGCCGACCGTGTAGTGGAAATGCGCCATAATTGTATGTAACAGCCTGAACAAATACTAGAACAATATGCATCCAAAACATATTAACAAAGTTTAAAAAAGAACCGGTGTTGTTTTTTGGTTTTTCGGAAAACCAAAAAAACGACGTTATTCCGTTTTTAAACCAAAACGGGAAAACAGATAAATCAACGTTTTGGCTTTGTTTGTATGATTTACGGATAATCCAGTGAATGCTGGGAAAACGAGGAGAAGGCGCATTATGAAGGAGATGTCCGGTCGCCAGGGTGTGTGTGTTGTGTGTGTGTGTGTGTGTGTGTGTGTGTGTGTGTGTGTGTGTGTGTGTGTGTGTGTGTGTGTGTGTGTGTGTGTGTGTGTGTGTGTGTGTGTTTTGAAAACAAATGCCGGTGTCGGACAGACACAAACACACCGAACACTCAGAGCTGAGCAGAGCACATACACACACACATCATGCGCCTTGGTGACTG